AAAAAAAAAAAAAAAAACTATTTGAAGAGAACTCGCAATTTCACTGTACTCTGGTTATAATTGGAGCCTACATGGAGAAGAGAGCATAAGGTAAGAAAGTTGACTTAGTTTACATTTCTCTGAATTTGCTTTTCCTTCTCAAACAAAACTCCAGGAAATGAAATGAATAGCATCACTGAAGGTTATGGAATATACTGAAAGAAAATTATCTTCCTCAAATACCTCTCCTCTCCCTTTCAAAACCCAATTAGGCTTTTTTTTGGGGGGGGGGGGCTTGACCATTAATAGGTCTTCCTGGTTAGTGGGTTGTTTGCTGTAGATTTCTTTCCCATGCTCCAGCTATGGGATGCAGGAGAATTTTATGCAGACATAGAACCTCTATCAGGAAGGAAAGAATTCTGAACATTCTGAGGCAGCACATTTTCACTGTGTTACTAAGTGAGATTACCTTATGCTGCCAAAGCCTTTTCTGGAATTAGCTCTGGCTGATGTGTATCAAATAATTCAGAAGGTCTATTCTTGAACACTGGTAGAGTGCATAGGCCAGCTTTCCTACTGTGGCTCCCTTACTGCCTTCTCTCATCAGCCACTTTTGGAGCATCTGGTAAACCTTTTCTTTTAGTCCATCTCGCTCATAGTCATGGTCAATTTCATCAATCTGAGATTCAGTGAAGCCCAGCTTACGTGCACAGTTTTTCCATTGCCTTCCCAGATTTTCCCTGACTGGGTCCAGATGTTTATCAGTCAGACTAGTGATATTATCTGCCAAACAGAAAAGAGAAGAAGACATAAAGCTTTAACCCATTTGGAACATTCTAGCTTCAAAAACCTGTAGAAAGAGTCCCAGGAGACAGTAAAAAAAAAAGATAACTTCTAAATTATATAGTTATTGACTCATTGGGTGATGCTTTCTATGTCTGGAAGCCTATTTGGAGTGTTGATATGAATACAATAGAGAACCCCTTCCTCATAGCACATGCAACACTGAGCCACAGCTGATGGCTTTGGGAATGAAACCCCTGCTTGGCTACTAGGCTATAATATACAACTTTAGCCAGCGACCATATTAATATCAGACCTTCCTGATGTAACGAGGGAAAACACCACTTTTGTTCCTTTTGGCATTTTCCACTTACATTTGGCCAGAATTAAGGTCATTCAACTCCTAAGCCCCTGCACCCAACAGTTAACTTTTCTCTTATTAAGGAGACAGACCATCAAGTGTGAATTCGTTCAATTACAGTGACTTCCCTGGTCTTTTAAGGAATGAGGGATCTACTTTTCAAGGTCTATTTTGGGACTCATTTCTCCTCTACCCTAAGTCTGTCTTCTCTTCTACGGCCACAACCTCTCTTTCTACTCATTCTTTCTCCTTGTCCTTCATAAAAATAACAAAAGGAGGCTAAAATATAAAATAACCACCACACACATTTTCCTTGATCCACACCCTACCTCAAAAAGCTGAACATAAGGGAAAAGACATCTCATTTTTTTACCCCTCAACTCCCGTTCTTTCCTCAGCTTCCCACAATGCAGCTTCTGTCATCATCCCTGGACATCAGCAGTCCAAAACCTCCCAAGATATTTGTCAAATTTTGTCAATACCTCTCTGGGAGAGGGATCCTGGGTTTCATCAGATTCTCAAAGGTACCTCTGTCAGCCCAAAAGTTAGGAACCTCCTATTATTAGAGCACAGCCATACCTGTTTGTGTACATATTATCTGTGGCTGCTATTGTACTACAGTGTCACTTGAGTAGTTGCAAAAGAGACCTCAGGACCAGTGAAGCCTAAAATATTTACTATCTATCCCTTGATAGAAAAGTTTTGCCAATCCTAGAGTTAATCATTAAGCTAGGTTCTTAAATCCCATTGTTTTAGCCCTGTGACTCCTTTTCCCAGGTTGTGTTTTGGGATTAATATTATGAGCCTGCATAGTGGAAAGCTGTAAGAGAAAGCCCTATTATTTTTATTACAGAGGTGCTATTGAAGGCATAGTCTTCTTTCTTTTACAGAATCCCTCTTGATGAAGACCTGAAGGAGCTATCTCTCCTAGGTCTGAGTAGTAATATTGATGATGATGTATTTAACACTTGACCTAACTATGTGCCAGGCAGTGTTCTAAGCTATTTATCCATATTGACTCATTTAATTTTCATAACAAATCCATGAGTTAGATATTGTAATCATCCCCATATTAAATATAAATAAATCACAAAGGAATTATATGGAAATTACAGAGAAAACATGGGGCAATTTTCAGAGAGAATAATCAGAGAAATTTCCGGATTCCATTAGATCCTTCTAAACAAGGAAGAAAGTTCAAGGTTGCTAGGCAATGGATCCTTAAGGGCATCTTACCAAAGATATCTTGGTACTTAGAAGCTGGCTCTTCTTTCAAGTTCACATGTGTGCTTTCCAGTAGTGCTGAATTCAATCCCCCAATCTCCATATAATTATGGTCTCCAACCTGAATGCCAGCGCTGTTGTATATGTTACATTTTATAGACTCATCTGAATAGAGAGGAATATACAGGTAAGTATATCTAGATTGAAAGCAAGAGAGGGGCACCTGAGTGGTTGGTTGGTTAAGTGTCCGACTTCAGCTCTGATTGTGATCTCACAGTTCATGAGTTCGAGCCCTGCATTGGGCTCTCTACAGTCAGAGCCCACTTCAGATCCTCTGCCCCACCCCTCTCTCTGCCCCTCCCCTACTCAGGTGCACGCGCTCTCTCTCTCTCTCTCCTTCTCTCAAAAATAAATAAACATTAAAAAAAAAACAAGCAAGAGAAATAGATACAATATGGTAAGAGCGCAGGGCTTTACTCCAGATGTGTAAGTTATTTATCCTATGCCACTCTTTGAAATTTTCTTCTTTAAAATGTAGCTGAACCAACCTCACATCCATCAGAATGGCTACTATTAACAAAAACAAAAAATAGAAAATAACAAGTGTTTGTAAGGATGTGGATGAACTGGAACCCTGGTGTACTGCTGGTGGGAATATAAAATCGTGTAGCCACTGTGGTAAACAGTATGGAGGTTCTTCAAAAATTAAAAACAGAATTACTCTATGATCCAGCAATTTCACTTCTGGGAGTATACCCAAAGGAATCGAAAGCAGGGCCTCAAAGAGATGTTTGCACACTCATGTTTATAGCAGCCACTCAAGTGTCTGTCAACAGATGAACAAATAAACAAAATGTGTTATATACAGACAATGGAATATTATTCAGCCTTAAAAAGGAAGGAAGTTCTGTCACAGGTTACAACATGGATGAACCTTTAGGACATTGTGCTAAGTGAAGTAAGGCAGTCACAAAAGGACAAATACTGTATGATTCAATTTATATGAAGTACCTAGAGTGGTTAAGTTCATAGAGAAAGAAAGTAGAATGGTGGGTGCCAGAGGCTGGGTGGGAGGGAATGGGGAGTTAGTGCCTGATAAGTACAGAGTTTCAGTTTGGGAAGATGAAAAGAGTTGTGGAGATAAATGGTGGTGATGGTAGCCCAACACTATGGTTTTCACCACAAATGGTTGTCTTTGGCCTATATAAGAAATAAAAATATCTAAGACTTCTTACCTTCAGAAAACAGCAAGCAAGAAAAAGAACACAAGCAGTGACCTTCACTTCCATCAGGGATTAGGATAATGGGACCACTGTGATGAATGTTAGAGCAGAAGATGCCTACCAGTTATCAGGACCTGTAACCTAACACCTGTGGGCAGGTGCAATGAATTCTCCCCAGACTGAGGTCAAGTGGTCTGATGGAGACTATTCCATGGCTACAAACTGCATTTGGCAACTGAAGACTGCAAACAACTCACCCTTGTTACCTGGTAGTCTACAACAGAGCTAATGGCTGCTTTATTTTCAGAAATTTTAATTGTTTAGATTGTAACTGAAAAAACTGTTTACCTCTTGATGGCAAAGAGCTGAATGGGATGGTGGGTGTGTTTCCCAGTAGGTTGGTCTCAGGCACCGGAGTTTTATGCACACTTGGCATATGGCTTGGATTTGGTCCATACCAAACTCTTGGACTTGGTGTTCCCAGATCCAACGGTCTTGCTCCCAAACCATACAGATTGTACAATCCATTGTTCCAGTATAGTACTTGAGGTTGGCTGGTTAGCCCTGTTGGTTGGTGTACTGCATTACCATGACCGGTTGCACTGGAATAAGGAATGCCTTTTACTCCTGGGTTCTGAACATTCTCATAGGGTTTCTGCTGTGCAAACGGGTCATGGGAGACCCTTCGTCTCCTTTCCTCCTCTCTATTATAAACCATATTCTGTCTGAGTGGCTTTGTCTGCCTGTCCATGCGGCTGCCATAAAGATGGTAGTTGGCTTCCTCCTGGAGTTTACTCTGCAAGCTGAGCTCATTCTCCTCCTGCTGGTACTCTACGGAGGGAGCAAACCAGGATTCCTCCACAGGGCCCATCCCAAGTCCTTGTGAACTGTGCAGAGAACTGGGCTGTTCTGGGGCTGAGAACAAAAGATCAACATTGGAAAGAGTTTCATAAAGCAGTAAGAAGTAAAATAAAACCTGAGCACCATCATAAATATGTACCTCAGAAAACTTTGAGAACAAATCAAAAAGCATTTACTTGATGGTCCTCTTCCTACAAGTTATATAGGTAATAAAATGAAGCCACTGCCTGGTGGGGAGAGAGCACTAGAGAAATTTTAACAAGCAACAGAAATATGAGTGTCACAGGAATGACCAAGGAAGAAAGGGACTTGTATTGCAACAGAGAAGGTGGGTGTCTCCTTGGTATGAGGCAGGGCTGGACAAAAGGAATAGTAACGGCTTGGTGCTAAGCACTTTCCATGGATTCTTTTATTCTTTAAAAGCCCTGTAAGAATAGGAGCAATTATTATCATGATTTGATGGATGAAGTTTACAAGAGGTTAACTTGCCCCAGAATAGATAGCAATTAAGTGGTTTCAATATCCTATTGTCTGTTTTCCCTTTTGTTATAATGGAAAAAAGTACCCTCCTTGAATCTGAGACCAACCTCTCTGCTTTTCTCTGAATCCATCATCCCTGACCTTCTCAAGGACTATGCTTCCACATATGTCCTCTCTTTGTCCTGATGTCACTTTCTCCCTATCAGATATATGTTCAAGATGCTTTATGATTTTGGTGAACACAAGGTTGCTTACTATTTCAAATATATGTATTTTCCCTCCCAAATATATTATAAATTCCCTTATGGCAGGGGTTAAATATTATAGTGTCTTCTGTTTTTTATTACGGTCATGAATAGTTACTTTAGAAAATAGAGTGAATGAATGAATGAATGACTGAATAAAGTACTTTCAATCATAGTATGTTACCTGAATTTGACCTGCTTGGAGGTATTGCTATACAGTCAATCTGGAGAGAATGCATTCTCTTCACAAATGAATTTTGGTCTGGATACTCTTTCTATAATTAAGAGCGTAAATGCACACTTTAGTAAACAGTAGAAAATAGTTCCAGAAAATTATTATAAGAAAAATGAGTCTTTTCAAAAGGTAGAAATTTCATATAGCTCTTACAAGGAATAAATATTTTTTAAAAATAAGCTTTTTTCCCAAATAGCCATAAAATCTTAAAAAAAAAGAAGAACAAATTTGGAAGGTTCACACGTCCTGATTTCAAAACTCACTACAAGACTACAGGAATCAAAACAATGTGGTATTCGAGACACCTGGGTGGCTCAGTCGGTTAAGCATCCAACTTCAGCTCAGGTCATGATCCCACTGTCCGTGGGTTCAAGCCCCGCATTGGGCTCTGTGCTAACAGCCCAGAGCCTGGTACCTGCTTCAGATTGTGTCTCCCTCTCTCTCTCTGCCCCTCCCCTGCTCACGCTGTCTCTCTCTCAAAAATAAACATTAAAAAATTTTTTTAATAAAAAAAATGTGCTATTAGCCTAAGGATAAGCATAGACCAATGGAATATAACAGAGAGCCCAGAAATAAACCCTTGTATGAGCAATTGATTTTCACAAAGGGTGCTAAGACCATTCAATGGGGGAACACTGGATATTGACTCTCTTAATTTATCTTTATCTTAAAACCTCCTTATGCCTGCCTATTTTCTTTACTGTAGTCTTGCCTTCATGATTATAGTATGTTGCTGTAAGACTTATGCTAGCAGCTTATTTCCTGAGGGTGTGTATGTAGGGAAGGTCTTTGTTTCCCTTGGTTACTTGTTGGTAACAATCCTTGTCATAGCCCAGACACCAAATTCCTTGCTTCAGGTTGAAGTGGATGCTGCTCCTTTGCTTAGCACAAGATTATCAGGGGGAGGAGCCAACTTTTGAAACTGCAACAACCTGGTTCCCAAGTAAAGATCTCATCGTTGATGTCCCAGGTGACCGTGCTTTTTCTTCGGTACGTTGACACAAGGCTTGCTCCTCCACTACTTTTTCAGCATTATGTTTAGGGGTAGTGTTTTGTTTTGTTTTGTTTTGTTTTGTTTTTTCTGTTGTATGTCTTAGCAAATTTAATTCTGTTGGCTTTCTATCTTTCAAGAATTCCTCAGAACGACTGATCCACCTGTGTGGTACTTTCCATTCTATTCCAGTGATGCTGTGTTTTTGTTTTCATATTGCTATATATAATTTCTCTCATTTCATTAGTTTCGATGGAGGAATGGGTCCAGTATGCCAACTTGATGATATCTGTATAAAATTGCTAATTTTGTTTCATGTGATTACTAAGCTAGCCTACTTCAAATCTTAGTAACAAGTTATATTGCTTTGGATTTCAAGATTGATAATATATATGCTTTGATAGGTTAATGTTTTGAGCATTACCTACCTTTAAACTTGTCACATCCTCTTCTACATTTTCTTCTAATTGATCTACATAAAAAGGCCTAAATTTTTCTTCAATACCTATATAAAGAAATAATACTATAAATTTCTTAAGTATTTTCTAAAGTAATAACCATATGCGAAATAACCGCTTGAGCTAACGCCAACCCTAAAGTAAAATTTGAGTATTAGTAATCTATTATCTTTCAATTACTTATCTTAATCTGTGGACAAAGCAGTAAAATAAAAATTTAAATGCCAAATCTCTGACTTACCCAAAGAGACTAGCAAGACTAATAACTAGGTGGAAGAAGAAGGAACAGGGTAACACGAGAAACCAAGGGCTATTGGGGTGCCTGGGTGGCTCAGTTGGTGGAGCGTCTGACTTCAGCTCAGGTCATGATCTCCCAGTTTGTGAGTTTGAGCCCCGCATCAGGCTCTGTACTAACAGCACAGAACCTGGAGCCTGCTTTTGATTCTGTGTCTCCCTCTCTCTCTGTCCCTCCCCTTCTCATGCTCTGTCGCTCCCATCTCAAAAATAAATAAACATTAAAAAAAATTTTTTTTAAATAAACAACAAAAAAAAAAAGAAACCAAGGGCTATTGTCTAATAGCATGTTTCTCTCACTGCAGCACAAAGCCCTATCTAGTATAAATTAATCTCCAAGTGAACAAGGATGGGTGGACTCCTTGTTTCTGTCTCCCTGGTATCAGAATTCTAGGATGGGGCACCTGGGTGGCTCAGTCAGTTAAGCATTCGATGCATGATTTCAGCTCAGGTCACGATCTCATGGTTCATGGATCTGAGCCCCACATCAGGCTCCATACTGACGGCATGGAACCTGCTTGAGATTCTCTCTCCCTCTGTCTCTGCCTCTCCCCTGCTGACATTCTCTCAAAATAAATACACTTAAAAAAATTATTATAGGATAGAATACTCAGAATAGTGATTTGATATAAAAAGCTAAAGGCTGTCAGCCTTAAAAGAAAAAGGCAACTTTCACTTCCAGGAAGATGGAGTAGGCATACTTTTCCTGATTTCTCCCTCTAAGCACAAGAACCCCTAGATATCACATATAAAACAAACATAAAAAGAGTCTGAAAGAAGGAAAGACAAAGGCTGACAAACTAGGGACTTTGGGATCTGAGGAAAGACATGACAATGTGCTCATTTAGGATTTCTTTTTGCCTCTTAGATCCCAGACTTGGGCTTAAAGAAGCTGGCAACCCAATGGGAAAAAAAAAAAATCCTAATTAAATAAAGCCTGATCCTTTGAGCCAAAGGACTAAGCAAAGAGCATCCTAGAAAGACAAAAGACCTTTAGTCAATAACCACTCTCCAGGCAAACATCACAGAAAATACTGTAGCTCCATTCCCAACCTCACCAGCAAAGGCCAGGTAGGTAGCTGAGACTTCCAACCTCATGAGACAGTAACAGGGTATACCAACACCCCTACTGGGGTGATGTCAGAGCAGGCCAAAAAGGAAGCCAGGACTTTCCTTCTTGCCAGATGGTAATGAGCACTCCACTCAGTGGTGTCAATGGACTACCAGGGCAGACTGGACTTGCACCCTTACTTTGTAGTTGTAAGGTGCCCCTATTCATTCCAATGGAGAAGTGTCAGAAAAGGGCTAGTGGGAGTCAGAACTTTCACTTCCATTGCAGTGTCCATGGAGACCAGGTGGACTCCATTGGAACTTCCACCCTCACCAGTAAAAAGAAGCCCCACCCCCCACCCCAGGTGTCAACAGGGCTCAATAGAAAACCTGGACTTCCCTCTACCTGTCACAAAAAGGTAACAGTCATCCTTCCACTGCCAAAGCCATGTCAGAAAAGGCTAGCTGAAACGGAAGGCTTAAGGAAGATCCAGAATCTCATAACATTGTAAGAAAATGTATAAGTTTCAATAGAAAAATGACTCATCACACTAAGAACCAGGAATATCTCAAACTGAAGGAAGAAACATAATCAATAGATGCCAACACGAAGATATTAGAGATATTAGAATTACCTGCTTAAAGATTTTTAAACAGCCATGATAAAAATGCTTCAATAAGCAATTACAAACAAGCTTAAAACAAATGAAAAAACAGCCTCAACAAAGAAAGAGAAGATATAAAATAAATTTCAATGAAATTTTTGAACTGAAAAATATAATAAACCAAAATGGGTAAATTCAACAGCAGAATAAAAGGGACAGAGGAAAGTCAGTGAACTGAAAGACCAGAATGATAGAAATATACTAATCTGACCAAGAGGGAGAAAATAAACTGAGAAAAAAGTGTACAAAACCTCAGTGACAAGTGGAACTCTAACAAAAGTTCTAGTATTTCTATTAACAGAATCTCAGAAAGAAAGGAAAAAGAGAGCATGGCTGAAAAAAGTACTCTAGGAGATAATGGCTGAAAGCCTCTCCAATTTGGCAAGGGACATATGACCTAACAGATTCAAAAATCAAAACAAAACTCAAACAGAATAAACCCAGAGAAATTCATACCAAAATGAATAATAATTAAACCTCTGAAAGATAAAGAAAAAATCATGAAAGCAGTCAGAAAATACCTTACCTGTAAGTTAAAAAAAGAAAAAAAAGAAAAGAAAGGAAAAAGGATTTCTTAACTGAAACCATAGAGGCCAGAAGAAGTGGCACAGTATTTATTAGGTCCTGAAAGAGAAGAATTGTCCACCTAGAATCCTACACCCAGCAAAAATATCCTTCAGAAATGAAGGGAAGATCAAGACATTCTCAAATGAAGAAAAACTGCAGTAATTTGTCCCTAGCAGACACACTCTAAAAGAATGGCTAAAGAAACTTCCTAAACAAGAAGGAAATGATAAAAAAAAAAAAAAAAAAAAAAAAAAAAAAAAAAAAAAAAAAAAAAAAAAAAAAGATACTTGGTATATCAGGAAGAAAGAACACATATGGTATAACTAAAAAATAAGTAGGCGTTCTTTTTCCCAGTTTCAGCCGGTTCATGGCAGGGAACTTCCCCAAATCCTTAAGATCTTCTGGGCAGTAAGAATTGTATGTTAATGAGATGGCTTCAGGCTGGAGGCATGGGGAGGAGAAGATAGATAGCTTCAGGATGGGAGCTGGTCACCAGAAAGACCTAGCTATGACTACAGGCTTGGAGCTTTCATTACAGCTCCCTGACCTACAGTGAGCAGACAGAGACTGGAGATTGAGCCCACCAGTGATTTAATCAATAATGCCCACCTAATTAAGCCTCCATGAAAACCTGTTAACAACAAGGTTTGGAGAGCTTCCAGGTTAGTGAATACATTGAGTGGGTACATTTTTGGGAAAGTGGCATGCCCAAAGAGGGCATGAGAGCTTCATGGCACATCACTCCCACCACCAATAACTTGCTTAATGAAATCTCTTCCCTTGGCTGTTCCTGAGTTGTATCCTTTATTATAACCCAGTAAATGTAAGCAAAATGTTTCCTGAGTTTTATGAGTTGTTCTAGTGAATTACCGAACCTCAGGGGGTAGTATGAGGACCTTCAGATTTGTATTTGATGGGGCAGAAATGTGGGTAGCCTGGGCACCCTATCTGCATCTGGTATATAAAGTGGGGACAATCTCACAGCAGGACTAAGCCCTTAAACCTGTGGAATCTGACAATATCTCCAGGTAGTCAATGTCAGAATTTAATTGAATTCTAGAGTACCCAGTTGTGACCCATTTGGTGTCAGAAGTAGTATTACAAAAAATACCCCACAACACAGTAATAAAAAATATGGCTAAATACAATAGGCTTTCCTTCTCCTTTTGAATCTTCTAGACTATGATTGACAGTTGAAGAACTGTAACAATGTCAAAGTATTATAAATGTATGTAGAGGAAATATTTAAGGCAATTATATACAGAGGAAAGTAAAGAGAAGTAAAGGAAGTAAAGTGTTTATACTTCATTTAAACTGGTAAAATAACATTAGTAGACTGTAATAAATTATGTACAGATGGTATAGAGTATCCATTAGGATAGTATCCATTAGGATACTAGAGTATCCATTAGGATACTAGGATAGTATCCATTAGGATACTAGAGTATCCATTAGGAAAACTATGCTCAAAAATATTGTCAGTAAATTCAAATAGGATTCTAAAAATGTTTAAGAATGCACAGGAACGCAGCAAAAAGAAAACAGAGAAATGAAAAACAGAAAGAACAGAAAACAAGACAAAATGGCAAACATGAGCTCTAACATAACAATAATTACATTAAATGTATATGGTCTAAAAACACCAATCAAAAGACAGACATTGGAAGAATAAAGAAATGACCCAAGTATATGCTGTCACAAAAAACTCACTTCACATATAATTGATTATAGGTAGTTGAAAGTAAAAAGATGGAAAAAGATGTATCATGTTAACATTAATAAAAGGAAAGAAGGGTGGCTATATTAATATCCAAAAAAGTAGACATCAGAGCACAGATGACTACTGGAGACAAAAAGGGACATTTATATAATGATAAAGGATCAATCCATCAAGACACAGCGATCCTAAATATACATGGATCCAAACAACAGAGATGTGAAATCTATAAAGCAAAAGATGATAAAACGAAAAGCAGAAATAGACAAATTCACAATTCTAGTTGGAGATTTGAACATTTCTCTCAACGATTTAAAGTACAAGAAAAAACATCAGCCAAGGTATAAAAGAACTCAACATTATCAACAGGATCTAACTGAGATTTACAGAATACCCTACCCAAC